GGATCAGACAGCGGCTCCTGGATTGGTCTCGGCCCCAGCACCGACGAGGGGAGGGGGGGGGGGGGGGGGGGGGGGGGGGCGCGGAGGCGGCGCGGGGGCGGGCGGCGAGATCGCGGGCGCCGGAAGATTTCGCAGAAGAAATCACGCGCACTGCACCCCATTTAACACTCGAGGCCGCCGTCACACTCACGCTGTCCAAGCCGGGCAACTCTGGCGCCCTGGCAGTTGCAATTCTCATCGAACCTGGAGCTGCCAACCCCTCCGCCGTAGCCCTGGCCATGACTGTCGTGCTCAATCCGCGCCCAGACCTCGTCGTCATCGCTGTTGATGCGCGCGTGTGTCGCTTGCGCTGCAGCTGCCATGATAATCACCGCGCGTAGACTGCAACGGCGCCACGGTCCTGGTCTCGGCATTTGGCGCGGCGGTCGGCCCGACCGCTCGCCCGCCGAATAACGATCACTCGTCTGACTCTGCTCCGCGAGGCTGCGCACCGAGGCTGCGCACCGCGCCTATCGAGAGCGACGTCTTTCCAAGTTTGGTAGCCCGTGAAGACAGACTGTGAACATGACAACTACACGACGGCAGGCTCGACGCAACGCCCCATCCGTTCATCGCGGCCCGACTCATCCAACCCACAAGCCGCCCACAGCGAGGCGCATCCTCTGATCTGGCCTCGCAGCTAAAAGATGCGACAGCCCGTCTGCCGGACGCGTTCTCCTTCCTGGTCGCGGATGTCCGCCTGCGCGAGCTGCGCCGCATCATCGGGGGGATCAAGGTCGCCACATTTACAACCGCACCTGCTCACGTTGCGCCGCCACCTCCTCGGCCAAGACACCCCAGCAACTGAAATGCCCGCCGCTTGGCGTCAGCAAACTGCCTCCGACGCCCCTCGACTTCGTTCGCATTGCAATGCCCCTGCAGCGCCCTCCACGTTCGCTGCTGACGCTGCCGACGCCTTCGCCATTGCCGCCACGCTCTGGAACCGTTGTGGTAAACCATTGTCTGGGCGCGCATGTCTAGATCCTGCAGAAATTAGTTGCCGCTGTCCTTCCACCTGGTACCTATCGGATAAATGGCGCACAGAAGTCCCGCAACTTTTGGGCGCATGAAATGTCTATGTCATGCACAAGGGACATCGACATGCAAGCCCACGCTTGCATGGCCTCGTGCGTTTGGCGCATGCTGCTCCGATCGCGAGAAGGACCCCGCGGGCGGTGAAGCGCTGCCCACGCACCCCTGCAAGATCATCAGGTCCTCTTGGCCTTGGTCGGCTTCATCTTGCCGTTCGCGTCGTTGTCCGCGTCGCTGGGGTGGCTGATCACACGGGACTCGTCGCTCAGTTCGCTCCGGTCCTGGCCGCGCCGCGCAGCCGCGGGCCGAAGAAAACGGCGTTGCAGCTGAGGTGGAACTGCGCAAGACCGGCCGATGCCACGCTCAGCCCGCCGGCCGCGCGCGCGGCCAGCCCGCCTGCCCCGAGCCGTTGAGGAGCTCGCAGTGGTAGATGCAGGCGCCGCCGACGCAGTCAGCGACTGGCGCGCAGTAGCTCTGAGCGCAGTCTTGCGGGGCGCCCGTCCAGTAGCTGGCGCCATCTTTCCTGCTTCGGCCATCGAGTTCCACGGCAGCGCGGCGCCCCACGCTCGCCGGCACGTCTGCCTCGCACCGCCTGGCAGATTGCAGCCGCGAGCTCGTGCAATCCTGAGAACTGGCTCGCCTGGCAGGCATGCGATTACAGCGGGAAGACAACGTGCCATCCATGTCCGAAGGCCGCCGTCTCCTCCACATACCGCCGTCTCGCCCCCGCCGCTGAGCTGGCCGCTCCTCCCGGCAACCCTTGCCCAGGCGACTTGCCGCGCAGGATGGCGAGGTCGAGGTGGGCGCCGTCGCTGGCGCGGGCGCGCGCCTTCAACTGGGCCTTGCTGATCTGGCATAGCAATGTGATATCATCTTGATCGGACACCGGCTGAGGCTGCTGTTGGACTGGCTGACGCAGTCCAGGGTCTCTGGTTACATATGGTGAACCCATGTGCTGCATGCCGCACTGTCGGCTATACGCAAGAGTGACCCTGGGCAAGAGCGACCTTTGGTGCGCGACTTTTTGGGCACCGCGGGGGGCCCAAACCCGGGCGCGCAAGCAGCTGCTGCTGCTTCGTTTCGGCCATCTGAGGACTCATCTGTGCCCGCACCAAAGGTCACTCGGGCGAAAGGTCACTCTTACGTCTAGTCGACACTGGTTCGGCGCCCCGTTGCATCTGCACGCTTGGCGCACGCCGGCCCTGGTTGCCGTCGCCGCCTCCAGCCTGTTGTTTGCCAGGTCGGTTCTGCCATGGCAAGCAACATCAAAATATCGCACGAGCTGCGCCTGGTGAGTTCGCGCGCGCCCTTGGCCATCACAGTGAAGTTGCCCCACGCGTAGACGCCATTGTCTTCGATGGAGCTAATTCTGCGACGTACCCCCATGCAGCTTGACATAGCTCGTTAGCTAGGTATTGGATCTTCTGGCCAGATGCAAACGGTGACGTCGAGACCCATCGTTGGCTCTTCACAGCTGGCAGATTGGCCGCAGCTGGCACGCGCCAAAGAAGCCAGCCGCCCTTCGCCGCGGCAGAAAAGAAACTTGCCCCTGCAGACCAAACCCCAACAGAAAGCTGAGCTCGGACCCTGCTGGCAACATCTGAATCCATACTGTCTGCCGCTCCAAGTACCTCGTGGAGCGCGAGTTGACGGTTCAGCCTGGGGCCGCAGTTCCATGGGCGGGCAGCACTTGGCCGTTGCGCGCAGGGCTCTCTCCCGAGACATGTCCCGCTTGCGCTTCCGTTCTGCTGGCGCCCCTCAGCGGCGACGATGGAATTTCCACCGGGGAGGTGGCGTCGAAGTGCTGCGATGGCGCAATCGCAGGATTTCCCATGGCCCGCATCTGGGCGGGCCCTGGGAAATCTTGCGACGGCTGCGGCTGTCGAAGATCGCATGGCCCGAGAAGGACTCCTTGTTGGCTGGCGAGCGCTCTCTGTGAACTTTCAGCGGAAATCGGGGCGTCTTCTGGTCCACCAATTCTGCGTTGCGCCTTCGGGCCTACTACTTTTGAAATAGCTGCCCCAGCTGCCGCGTGCGCCATATTCGGCGATGGCCGCTGCGGCACTTGTTGCTGCGCGTTGCATCCTGGCACGGCGGTGGCCCATGTCCCTGGACCTGTTGCTGTAAGCGAGGAGGCTGCGCAACTGGCATCGGGGCGAAACCCGAATTGCCCGGGCCCGTGGCTGCGTAATTACATGGCACGCATCGTATGCAGTCGTTGCTGCAAACATTGATCGTCCACCGTCTGAAAAATTCCCTGGCCCCCCATGCCCTGCACTTGCTTCCGCTGATGGTGTTGCGGCTGCTGCTGGCCAGGCATCGCGCCCAGCGTAGGACACGGCCCCACTGGCGGCGGCGGCGGCGGCAGCTGTACACCTTGAGCTGGCAAGGCCGACGCAACTGTTCGCAGGGGTTCCTCCATTCATCTGGTGTGCACGGTGTTCTGGGCAACGATATGTTGCTCGAGCTAGATCGCGGTGGCCGAGGGATTGCTCGCCGCTGTATCTGCTGGCCCTTCTTGCGGCCCACGCGCCGTCATGCCACGCTGTCCTGCCATCCTGGTATCCGCCTGTGCTGTCACTTCCGCCAACTTTTGTAACAGGTACTGTAGCGCCCCTCTCACGTCGATGAGATCGTCCTCTAGGTCCTGTATGTGTTCCTCCAGCCCTTTCATCCTCAATCTTACAAGCCCTAAAAGTGTCGTCCACTATGTGATTGCGTTGCCGTGCTGCTGTGAGCGGCTCGCCTACTGGCTTGGCGGACTCCACCTGTTTTCTCGTCGTTGTCGGACTTTTCGATTTTGAATGCCGCCATGCCCAGCTGTGAGAGCATGATGAGTCTCTGTTTGGCTCGCTCTCTCTCTCTCTCTTTCTCTCTCTCTTTCTCTTTCTCTCTCTCTCTCTCTCTCTCTCTCTCTCTTTTTTCTCTCTCTCTCTCTCTCTCTCTCTCTCTCCCCCTCTCCCTCTCTCTCTCTCTCTTTCTGTCTCTCTCTCTCTCTCTCTTTCTCTCTATAATGTATACATATATAGATGTAGTAGACCACCAGCTGGCTCGTGTCTCTGGGCGGCTGCCATTAGCGCCGCTCTGAATTCTACACTGCCGCTGCTGGTAGCGCCGGCGTGACCTCGGTGAGTTAGGCCATGGCCGCTTTGTCCGGGTACGGCGGGACCGGACGCTGCCGCGATGCAGGACGGCTTGCTGGTCTTTTTGTCTACGAGGTCGCGCGGCTTTTTTTTTGTAATGGGTTCCGCACAGGCATTGCCAGTGATGGTCTCCGACGTGCCGCCCACATGGGCGCTGAGCAGTAACCTCAAAGAGGCCACTCTCAGCATGTCCTGGCTGAGGCTATCTTCGCCCTGGCTCTGCGGTGCCAGGCTGGCTCGCGAGATCGCGAGCGGGGATTGGCACCCTCCATGGTGCCTCGTGTGGGAGAGAAAGGGATGAAACATGGAAGTGGCCGAGCTATAGTGTCACGCGCGTCAGTGAAAGGCAACGGATGTGACCGAGTGGTGATCACGGCACACGAGGCTGTGACTGCGCTGGCCAGCCGCCCCCTGAGGTGCCGGCCTGCACCCGATTGCCTTCTCCTCCCCTCCTCCTCCTCCTCCTCCTCCTCCTCCTCCCCCTCCTCCTCCTCCTGCTCCAGCCCTACCTCCCAACTCCCTCATTCACCACACATCCGATGGATCGATCTTGTGCAATCCCTGGGCCTCAGACCCCCCACCCTGGGAGTAGTTTCTCGTCCCCCAAACATGCCACATGGCCCCAAAGCACCAAAACGGGCCCTCAGAGGCAGCAAATAAGAAGAGAAAGCGCCCGGATTGATCAACAAAAACAAAAAACGACCGAAGGCCTTGGGCCGTCGGCCCGGTGATGCCGCCGCCGCCGCCGCCGCCGCCGCCGTCAGCGCGGCCGCCGTCATGGCCGTCCTCGTCGGCCCAGTGCCGCCGCCGGAATGCATCATACAGCGGCTCCGAAGCGGGCTCCACTGGCCCAGTGGCGGCGGGCCCCCTCTGCACGCCGTCGGCGCCCCTGGCTCCTGCAGGCGAGGGCATACGCAGAAAGAGCTGCGCACATACTTGCGAGCGTGGCAGCCGCTCGCGCAGCGGCACGACGAGGCGAAGGCAAGAGCGGGCAGAGCCCAGGCAGAGAGCGCTCGCCGCGCCCTCCCGCAGCAGCCCTGGCAGGGTGCGCAGGGCTCACCCCGAGAGCGCTGATCACAGCAGTCACACCGTCAGCACTCTGCCCATACATCAGCGCCGGCCAGGCCGATCCTGGGCCCCAGGATCGGTGCATGCGCCCTCATGGCCTGGCCAGGGACGCGTTGGTACCAGTCCTGGGCCCCAGGATTTGTCCCGGCCAGGGCTGGCGGTGGCGTGCTTGCGTAGCGGGTGCCCGCCGACGGAAAGGCCGCGGCAGCAGCACGAGCGGCCCCCCGATACTAGCCGGTGCCCCCCGAAGGAGAAGCGGCGGCAGCAGCAGGCGGCTGGCGCGTGCCCGGCCCCTTGTGGTCGAACCAACAGCAGCAGGAAGAGGAGCGCAAGAAAAAGGGAATCACCGTCCATGTCTCGGCATCACCGTCCATGTCGCGGAGCCGTAAGAATCGGAGGAGCCAGAGGAGGCAGGTCCTGAAGAGGAGGAGGAGGAGGAGGAGGAGGAGGAGGAGGACCCGTGTCAACCCAAGACACATCAACGATGTTGCAATAGATCCTCCCTCCAAATTTCCTCTTCAGAGGTCCATAAAAGAATGGATATTCATTGCAGGAAGTGGCCCATTAGAGGACAAACGTTTGAGAATCCTCAATCGTGCCAAGACACAGCTCCTCTGACTGTAGCACAGCGGATCAACGTGATTATTGCGTCCTGACAATCCGACATCGTGTCAGAACACAGTTCCTGGAACTTCAACACCGCGAATCAACGTGACTGCTCGGCCCTAACAATCCATTTCTGGGACTTCGGCCGTGCGAAAACATGACATGCTCGGTTTGTTGAAACGAATGTGCTCGGTGCTAAAGTGAGAGCAACAATTTGAAAAGGTGCTGTGAAGCAGTTACTTACGTGTAAAACAAATGCGCGCGGCACTAAGCCGAGAACCACATTTCGAAAACCACCCCCTCCATCCGCGAAGCTGCTGCAAACTTTTAAGACGAATGTGCGCGGCGCTGAAGCGAAAACCACATGTTGAAAACCATCCCCCTCCATCCGTGAAACTGTTGCAAATGTTTTAAATCAATGTGCGCGGCGTTAATGCGAACACCGCATTCTGAAAACGGCCCGCCCTCCATCCACGAAGCTGTTCCAAGTCCCAAATTTCAGAATCACGCATGGCGAAAATGTCCCAGGCGAAACGCCAGGCCCGCCTTACCAGCGCGTATGGGGGTGCGACAGAGAAGGGTGAGAACTTCATGAAAAAAAGAAGGACGGAGCAGCATCAGCAGCAGCATCAGCAGTGGCAGCACAAGGGAGCAAGGGGGGAGAGTCTGAACTCGGTCGCCGCCCCTGGTTCCTGTGGCAAGGAGAAGGAGTGAGCATGCCGAAGAGAATGAGGGAACGATCAGGCGAAGCAGCAGCAGGAAGAGCAGGAAGGGCAGGAGGAAAGTGGAGAGTCTGAATACAGTCGGCGCCTTGGCTAGCTCGCTCCCAAGCCTTAAATCCAACAGTGCCGACATGAACCTGAACCATCTTTAACACGTTCCGGGATAGCGGCCGTTACCACCACCACCCTCGCCCACCCTTTTCCCAGATGACGTCATGTTCTGCGCCGGCGGCGTGGGGGAATGCCTGGGGATGACCAAGGCTTAGTAGGAGCAGCATGTCGGTGGCGATCTTCACCACGACGCTTGTGTACACCACAATTCTCGCGTGCACCACAACGCGCGTGCACACCACATCGACTGCGTACACCGCAACAGCCGTGTGCAGCGCAGCGCCTGTGTACACCACAGCGCTCGCGTGCACCACAGCGCCAGTGAACACCACAGCGAATGTGCATACTTCAACAACCATGTGCAACACAGCGCCTGTGTACACCACAGTGTTTGCGTGCACCGCAGCGCCTGTGCACACCACAGCGCCTGTGTACACCACAGCCTCCGCGTGCAACGCAGCGCTGGTGTACACCACAGCGCCTGCGTGCACAGGACAAGTAGGAGGAGCATGTAGGTGAGGATCTTTTGCGGGCAATTGAACACCACGCAAGGGAAGTGCTGATAATAGGATGCGATGTTCTTCAATTTCCCGCCTCCTCCTCCTCCTCCTTCTCCTCTTCCTCCTCCTTTTCCCACTCCTCCTCCGCCTCCTCCTCTTCCCCCTCCTCCTCTTCATCCTCGTTTTCCTCCTCCTAAGTCGTGTTCCTGCTAAGTGGGCTTCTGTTCTGCAAAGTGGGCTCCCGATGTGCTTGATCCAGTTGCCAGCTCAGCCTCATGCTGCCGGTCAAATTGTTCTTCGTCGTCCTCCTCGTCCTCCTCCTCCTCCACTTCCTCCTCCTGTACTCCTCCCCTTCCTTCCTCTTTTCACGTCCTACTACCACCTCCTCCTCCTCCTCCTCCTCCTCCTCCTCCTTGCCTCCTCCAGGAGCCTCCAGGGGTGGGGGCCGTAATGCGGGTCGGGCGTGACCCGCACTACAGGACACCCCCCCCTGGAGTCCGGAACCTTCGAAACATTTTCGTTAATATTGATTTTCAAGGTTCCGGGCCTCCAGGGGGGCGCTGTAGCGCGGGTCAGGCCCGACCCGCACTACAGCACCCCCCATCCCTGGGTGCCCGAAACCTTCGAAACAACTTCGTCCAACTTGATTTTGAAGGTTACGGCACTTCGGGGGGGGGTGTAGTGCGGGCTAGGCCTGACCCGCGCTACAGCACACCCCCTCTGGAGGCCCGGAACCTTCGAAACGACTTCGTCAATATTGATTTGAAGGTTCCAGGCCTCCATGGGGGGGGCTGCAGTGCAGGTCAGACCTGACCCGCACTACAGGGGAGGCCCCGGCATACCAACCCTGTAGGGGGCAGATTACTTCAGAGAGCCCCCAAGAAGAGACATGTTCACCACTGTACTCTGTCAGATCACCCAAATTACCCACAGGAGTGGCCTAGGAGGGTAGATGCCTTAAGAGAGACCCATCCAAAGGAACATGTAATTACTTTTGGTGGCAATATCTTCGAATATCGCAAAGAAAGCCACGATGTATCAAAACAGCGCATGGGATAGCGTTACTTTCTAAATCCTAGCGCAGCTCAGCAGCATTGAGCTGAAAATCAACGCACAATCTGGCGTCGCATACATAGAGATGTAGCATTGCATCGATTTGCTTTAGTCTTGCCAAAGCATGGGAACTGCATACGTTTAGTTAGCAGTTCGCCGCTTGCCTCAGCGTAGCAAGTATCACCGCATGGCGTCAGATGGCAAAGCGTAGCATAACATAGCATTGTGTCGCATATAATATCACTGCAGCACTGGAGAGCAATGCACATGGCGGAACAACACAGCGCAACGCGCCTTAGCATCGAACAAAAAAAAACGCAAAACCACACCACATCGCATCACAGCACCGCACCCCCTGTAGACTGGGTCAGGCGCGACCCGCCATACAACATTCCCCCTCCGCTGGACACCCGAAGCTTTCGAAACCCCTTCTGGCGCGGTCGTTTTGCAAGTTCTGGGCCTCGATGGCGAGTCTCCTGAGAGCAGTATCCGTGCAAAGATGTGACCGGTGCCCTGTTCTAGTCGGCTGGAAGATACGAAAGGGCACCAGTGGACCGGTGCCCTTGGCTCACAAAGTTGAAAGGGCACCAGGCAGGCTTCGCATAAATATCATGTGCGCCAGAGCCTCATGATCTGGTGACTCTTGGCTCAAATTACTTTTCTAACATATTGTTCTCCGAGTCCGGCCGCAAATGAATGTCATGAAACACTTCAAGAGTCTTGAATTGCAAAGCGGCGCAAAACGTTGCATAGCATGGAGCGATGTGGCATAGCGTAACATGGGAAGCGTATATATGTAAGTTCAAGTTCGTGGCTTACTTCAGCGTGGAAGATATCACGGCATGGCGTTAAATGACAGAGCGTGACATAGCAAGGCCTGGCATCACACACGACTCCAGCACTGTAGAGCAATACGCGGTAGCAAGAATTATCCCAGTGCGACCCTACCTAGGAGTTGGAGCCTCTAGGAAAGCAACAATATGATATGCTATGCTATGCTATGCTATGCTATGCTATGCTATGCTGCGCTGTGCTATGCTAAGCAATGCAATGCTATGCTATGCTATGCTATGATATGATCTGCTGAGCTGTGCTATGCTATGCTATGCTATGCTATGCTATGATATGATATGCTAGTATTGGGTATGCTATGCTATGCTGTGCTAATGCTGCGCTGCGCTTTGCTGCTCTGCGCTAAGTTAAGCTAAGGTAAGCTAAGCTATACTAAACTGAGTTAAGCTAAGCTAAGCTAGGCTGGGCTAAGTTAAGCAAAGCTAAGCTAAGCTAAGCCAAGCCAAGCCAAGCTAAGCTAAGCTAAGCTAAGCTAAGCTAAGCTAATATGAGATAAGCTGAGCTAAGCTAAGCTAAGCTAAGCTAAGCTAAGCTAGGCTGGGCAAAGCTAAGCTAAGCTAAGCTAAGCTAAGCTAAGCTAAGCTAAGCTAAGATGAGATAAGCTAAGCTAAGCTAAGCTAAGCTAGGTTAGGCAAAGCTAAGCTAAGCTGGGTGATCCCAGGGGGCGCAACTGGGGGAACCGCGGGGCGGGGACTGGGGGAACCGCCCGGGGCGCTGTGCACTGCCCGGCCCCTTTAAGCTAAGAGAGTAAGAACCCTCTAGGCAGAGCCTAGGTAGGGAAAACAACACCACAACGCACCATAGCATCGAACGAAAGCCCGCAACAGCATGCCACATCACAGCCGTATCGCATCACACCTGAAGGGCGGCAACGCCGGAACCAACTCCTCAAGCAAGCCTCACCAGGGACACGAAGTGAACCCGCTGCAGACGCCCTCCCCCCCAGCGGCATAGGTGAGGTCTGATGCCTGGGGGGGTCTGGGG